TTTTCACCATTTTTATTAATTTTAAAATGGGTAAAACTGCAACTTTGCATTATATGTATAAAATAAATTTAAAAATTAAGAAAAAAATTATTTTAAAAATGAAATAAAATAAAAGCTTATTTTAAAAAAAGTTACATAAAAAATAAAATAAAATAAAAACTTATTTTAAAAAAATTAAAAATTTATTTTATATATATAATATAAAGTTACTGTTTTACTCCTTTTAAAATTAATAAAAACGGTAAAGAGAAATTGGAGGGTCATGATAAAATATTATATAAAATTAGATAGTCATAATGAAACGTTATATGAAATTGGATGACCATGGTGAAATAAAATCAAATTGAGTGACTATGATAACACTAAATATAAAATAAGTAGTCATTGGTAAATTTAACCTGAGCTGCACCTAATTTAATGGCATGATATATATTACTCTCAATGCCTAGATCTCGTGAGTCGTATTCATCGGTTTGGATTTGTTTATTCTTATTACATAAAAATATAATGGACAAATAATTTTTTATGTCCCTTCTAATAGACTTCTGAATTGAAATGTTCATCAGAGACAAAAATATGTCAATCAAACGATGTAAAGGTTGAAAACATTTATTATCAATAAAATGTAGTGCACTTAACAAAAAGAGTAATGTTATTCATTCCCAATGAGGATGAAAACACAGTCTATGTGACTTTAAATGATAGGTTAAATGAAATGTGAAATTAAATGACTTATTTAATTTCACCTATTATTTAATGTCACATTACCGCCACGTAAACTGTGTTTTCATCCCCAGTGAAAATGAATAGCATTACTATAACAAAAATCTGATTACTCTTTCAAGTAACTAGTTTCTATAGGTTCAATGTCTACATCGCTACCACCTCAGCCTCCTCCTTGTACTGTTAAGAAATGTTATATAAAGCACACATTTGAAGACTTTGTAATGTCTATTTCCCATTTGGCTTACTAAAGTTTGTGGCCATTGTATATAATCATTTCCAGTTTTCAAATTTTACCGTTTACGTGGTTTCTTGATTTGTTTTGCAGGAATATATTATTGTAGTAATAGTAGATGTTATTATTTTGGGTTTGCAATTGGCACTGCGCTTTTTGTATTAAGGATACTGCTGTCAATGATTAGGATTGAGAATTTGGTGGGGATTACTGTGTATTTGAGCCACATTATTTTGGAATAATGTATTCTGGAATAGTAGATTGATGGAGAATTTGTGGTTGAAAAAGACGGAAAAAATTATTGATGTGATGAAAAATATTATTTTATTAAACAATGTGTGGTTGAAAATGAGTAGAAGAATGATAATGAAAATTTTAATGTGTGCCAAACAGGAGCTTAAAACTAGATTTTTAGTAAATTGTGATAAAAGTTTTTGAAATGTGTGGTTGAAAAGCTGTGAAACCCATGAAAAATGTGGTTAATATTGATTGTTTGACTTTGATTTAAATTAAAATCAGATTTTAATTTGAAACAAACGGGGCCTAAGATTGGGAATTTGACAGGATGATGTTGGAATCTCGTTTAAAAAAATAAAAACAGGTATATAATTTATTAGATGAGATAAAAGTTAATTTATGATTTAAGTATTGTTGCATATTTGGTAAGATATTTTTGTTCGTATTTATGCTGCGTGTTTGATTCGTGATTATTTTTGGTAATTATTACAATTTTTTGATTTTTTGATTTTTTTTTTATTTCGAGCAAATGTATTAGTAAGGAATTTTGAGTTAATTTAATACATGATCAAGCCCATGTTTGGCATAGATTAAAAGTCATGTTAAAGTTAACAATTAATTTTAATCACACGTGACTCACAACTTTGCAATCACATATTTTAACAATTTTTATCAAAATTTACTAAAAAATTAATTTTAATCCACACCAAACAGCAACTTATATTTCCAATCTATCCTACATCGTAATTGGACACTAAATATTTGGACACAATAATTTCTTCGTTTTCACATGTTTTGAAGAACACTCAATAAATGGTCATCGTTGTTTATTTCTTCTTATTTCAATTTTGTCGTTTCCTTTCTTCTTTTTTTCAAAATTTTGCTTATTGGATGTTTGTCCAATTTATTTTGGATGCTTATTCGATTCTCAAAAAAAATTATGCATATCCAACAAATCATTGTAAAAAGATTAACAACAACAACAACAATAATACAATTAACTTGAAATGGCATGGACTGTTAAGTTATTAGTATGTATAATTGAAAATCGTAGTACTACGTATACAGCTAACTTGAAATGGCACAGACTCTGTAAAAATAAATAAATAAATAAATTGAAACAACAAAATCCCGATCCAATAAATCGTTACAAAAATAAAATATTATATACTATTAAGATACTACTTCTAAGCCCATGTTTGATGTGAGGTAAAATCAAATTTTTAGTAAATTTTGATTAAAATTGACAAATTGTGTAATTACAAAGTTGTGGATCGCATAAAATGTGTACTTAAATTTAATTGTTGATTTTGACTTAAATTTTAATTCACACCAAACAGGGGTTTCGTCATTAATCTATAAAAACATCAATTTTATAAATTATAATTTTTTAATAAAAAAGTACGGTCAAATTATTATCCTTCCGTCCTATAAAGATAAATTTACTTCCATTTTAACACAAATTATAAAACTTGATCAATATGGTTGGAACTATAAAATTTACTTACATTTAATGGTAGTTCATATCTATTGATAACAATACAAATTAAATAATGACATATTTTTAACATTTCATTGATTAGAAAATCTTATCGTTAATCATGGTTTTCATTCAAAAATATTGTCAAAGTATTTTAAAATAAAAACTAATATTTAATCGTATTTTTGCATTATTACTTTGCTTTTCTTATTTAAAAGTAAAACGGGCAAATGAGTTTTTTTTTTTTTTTAC